TCAACTCTGCAGTCCAGAGCTTGCTCCTTGGCTAGAGAAACTCTGCAAGAAGAGAGTTCCAGGTGCTTGTTCTAGGAAACCACCATTGTATCTTAGAATGAAGAGTGCTGAGGAAATAGAGGTGGTGCCCCTGAAAATATGTGCTGTGGTCTTCTCCTCTGCAGAGAAGAACAACAGAAAATTGACTGGTAATGACAACACTCAAAAAAGAGAAATAATGATACACAGTATCCATATATTTCTATGCCTGAAAAGTTTATTTAAGATTTATTTAGATAAATATTTGTTTAAAAGGGAATAGCTGCATATGAGCAATTTTGGCAGATAGCAAATATTTCAATTAAGATAGTTGACAGATTTCAGCACAAATTACAACTTATGTTCATTTTGGTACAGAGGTAAAATGTGGGGGGGGGCATATATTTGGAGGCCAGATTCAATCTAAGAATCAGTTGGAACTGAAGTTTTCTAACTAGCTTCCCATAACTCAGCTCACAGATGAACTATATCAAGAATGCTGGTTGATGAGAATCAGGTGAGTCCAGATGAGAGCAGCAGCAGCATGAACCACTAGAGCAGGTTGGGCGGGAGCAGGTGGTCTGGCAGCAGTTGGGGTGGCAGCAACTGGAGTTGCACAGGAGGGGCTGCAGTAGCTGGAACCACAGCAGGAGGAGCTACTGCTGCTAGAGATACTGCAGGAAGGCTGGCAGCCGCTGGAAATGCAACAGCTGGGGCAGCAGGTGGCCCTGCCACAGGTTGTATGGCAGCAGATGGGCTACTAGCAAAGAGACTGGCAGCACTGGGGCCTGCAGCAGCTGGACACACAGCAGCTGGGGCGGCAGCAGCTGGACACACAGCAGCTGGGGCGGCAGCAGGTGGTCCTGCAGCAGGTTGTCTGACAGCACTGGGGCCTGCAGCAGCTGGACACACAGCAGCTGGGGCGGCAGCACGTGGGCACACAGCAGCTGGGGCGGCAGCAGGTGGACACACAGCAGCTGGGGCGGCAGCAGGTGGTCCTGCAGCAGGTTGTCTGACAGCACTGGGGCCTGCAGCAGCTGGACACACAGCAGCTGGGGCGGCAGCAGCTGGACACACAGCAGCTGGGGCGGCAGCAGCTGGACACACAGCAGCTGGGGCGGCAGCAGGTGGTCCTGCAGCAGGTTGTCTGACAGCACTGGGGCCTGCAGCAGCTGGACACACAGCAGCTGGGGCGGCAGCAGCTGGACACACAGCAGCTGGGGCGGCAGCAGGTGGTCTGGCAGCAGCTGGGATGGCAGCAGTTCTCCAGGCCACAGCCCTGGTCAGAGCAGACAGAGCCACAACAAGAGTTGACCATGGTGTCAGAGGGTGGAGGTTCTCGATGGGTTTCCAGGAAGGTGGGTTTGGAAGGTTTGGAAGTCTCCTTGCCCCCAGATCCTCTTTTATACCCTGCTAAGGGCCAATGTCATCAGATGCAGCACTCTTTCCTTGTTAGTGTTTGTCCTGATAAGTAGGTAATTATCAAATTAGTCAAATGGTTTGTTTTTCTGGTTACATTTGTCAACATGGAAGAAAGCATTATTTCCTTCCCCTGGTACGTTATGATTCCTCAGGTCAGCACTTCTTGAACAACCTCTTGGGTGTCTCTTGCTGTAGCTTCCTCCTGGAGCTGCCATGTGACATCTGCTTGTAGATACCACGTGCTGCAGCCTCATTTTCCTTAATACATTATGTCTGACCTCGGGTGATTTTGATTCTTCTAGGCCCATAATTTTCTTTTGGTAACTCAGGAGGAGAAAGGTGTGCCTTAATTTCATGGCCTGTTTGTTACGGATCAAGTGGGCAATGAAGGGTTGAATGTGAAACAGGTAACCAGCGGCATGAACACAAATACTATTGGGATATATTCTTTGCCCCCTTCCACGCAATGAATCATAACCGATTCTCTAGACTTTCTGATGGGGAAAGCAGAATTGTTTTAAGGTGGACATCTAAGTCATGGACTATTGATGCTTCTTTTTCTTGAGAAATAACGCTCCAATACTCAGTTTCAGGGACTTTAGGGGGAATTGGCTACAGAGATACACTAAAGGGTTCAGGTCTCTCAGCTCTCTGCCCGAGGGGCTGATTTTCCTTTTGACTTTTCTTCCTTGTCTTGCTGACTTTAACAGGCATCTTGAGTCATCGCCTCTATTTCTAAGGTTTACTTGCTAACCTGAGGTAAAGGGGGATGGATGATGAGAAATTACTTGAAGGGTAGAATGCACATTATTTCAGTGATGGATACTATAAACATCCTGATGTGACCATTATACAATATACCCATGTAACAAGATTATACTTATATAAATTTACATGAATAAAATATTGTAAAGATATCTGAATTGGAAAGGTAGAAGTTAAATTGTTTCTATTTGTGGATGACATGATCTTATATGTAGAAAACCCTAAGGACTTCACTAAGAAACTGTGAGAACTAATCAATTCAGTAAGGTTGCAGAGTATAAAATCAACATACAAAACCCAGTAGGTTTTCTATAATCTAATAGCAAACTATCTGAAAAAGAAATCAAGATAAATATTGTATTTACAAAAGTTACAGTATAATAAAAACTTCCAAACAAATTTAACCAAGAAAGTGAGGATCTCTACACTGAAAACTGTCAAACAAAAATGAGAGATTGATGAAATCACAAATAAATGGAAAGTCCTGTGTTTATGAACTGAAAGAGTTAACATTATTGAAAGATTTTAAAAGCAATTTACAGACTTCATTCACTGCCTATAAATGTTCCCATGACATTCTACATAGAAATAGAAAAAAAAAGTTCTAAAATTTGTACAGAACCACAAATAACTAAAGTAATTTTGAGCACTAAGAACATAGCTAGAAGCATCGCATTTCCTGACTTCAAAATAAGCCACAACACTGTAGTAACCAAAATAGCATCATTGTAACATAAAAATGAACACATAGACCAATGGAATGGAATACAGAGATCAGTAATAAAATCATGCGTTTACAGCCAATTGATTTTCAACAAAGGTGAGAAGATAGGGAAAGGACAGTGTCTTTAATAAATTGTGTTAGGGCCAGGTACGATGGCTCACGTCTGTAATCCTAGCATTTGGAAGGCTGAGGCAGGTGGATCATGAGATCAGGAGTTCAAGTCCAGCCTGGGCAACATGGTGAAACCCCACCTCTATTAAAATACAAAAAATTAGCTGGGCATGGTGACAGAGGCCTGTAATCCCAGCTACTTGGAAAGCTGAGGCAGGAAAATCATTTGAATCCAGGAGACAGGGGTTGCAGTGAGCCAAGATTGTGCCACTGCACTCCAGCCTGGGTAACAAGAGCAAGGCTCTGTCTCCCAAAAAATAAATAAATAAATAATAAAGTGTGTTAGGAAACCTAGGTACCCACATGCAGAAGAATGAAATTAGTCCCTTATTTCTTACAATATACGAAAATCAGTTGGAATCGATTAATGGCTTAAATATAAGATCAGCAACTATGAAACTTTTGGAAGAAAGCATGGGGGTAAGATTCATGACGTTGGTCTTGACAATGACTTTTGAATATGACCTCAGAGGCACAGGCGATGAAAGAAAAATTAGATGACTGAGATGACATCAAACTAAAAAGCTTCTGCACAGCAAAGGAAACCACAGAAAGAGTGAAGAAATAACCTACAGAATGGGAGAAAATAATTCTCAGAAGAGAAAATACATCTCATAATGGCTTAATATCCAAAATATCTAAGGAGCTCAAACAGCTCAGAAGCAAGAAAAAAAACCTGATTAAAAACTGTCTTGCATGCTCTGCTCATGTACCCCAAAACCTATAATCCAATAAAAAATTAAAAAAAAAAAAAAAAAAAAAAAAAAAAAAAAAATAAAAAGAAAGTCCTCTTTCTTTCACATTACGTTGGGCTAAAGCCAAATGTGATTCTACATGCTGATGGTGTTGAGTAATAGCAATATCATAATAATCATTTTAGAAAACAATTCTCTCCCATCAGCTCTTGCTGAACATATTTAGATGCCAGAGATAGCATTAGGGGTGAGAAACATTTGTCCTTTAAAGACTTCAATTTCAAGACTTTGATTGTTCACAGGCTTTATCATTTGTTTTTCATATGTGCTAATCAAATTATTCCAATGTTTTTATTTCTTCCTACAAAAGCCTTCATTTAGAAAACACTTCATATCATCCCCATGCTAATTATTTAATAAGAAAAGGCTTCTTTCAGTTTTCACTTTCTCATCTCTCTTCTTTCAACACTGAGGTCAGGTTTCTCATCTGAAACTTCAATGTGTTCTAACTTTATGTTTCTATAAATTCATACATTGAGGGCATTTCGTTTTGGTCCAGTGTTTTTTCCCCCTGGGAAGAGAAGGTTGTATTTATATGCCTCTAATAAATGCAAGACTTTGTTCTGCTGATCTTTTCTTTTTCCTCACCCCCTCAGGGGGGTGGCTAGAAATCTGCGCAATCCTTGTTTTAAAAAAATAAAGAATGAAAGACAAAAAAAAAAAAAAAAAAAAAAAATGGGCAAAAGACCTGACTAGATATTTCTCAAAAGAAGACACACAAATGGCTAACAGGTATGTGAAAAGGAACTCAACATTACTAATTATTAGGAAAATACTAATCAAAACCACACTGAGATATCATCTTACTCCTGTTAGAATGGCTATCATCAAAAAGATAAAAGATGGCAAGTTATTGTCAAGGATGTGAAAAAAAATCCCTTCGTTTTCAACAAAATTTTCTTGTCCAGATGTAGTAATATCTACTCTTATCTATTAGTCCCCATTAGTCCCCATGAAGTACAGAATGTCTTATCTCTATTCTCTGTGAATAGAGATAATACATTATGTTCTTTAAATGTTTTCAACAAGTTTAAACCATTAAATGGACAAACATTATTGTGTAATGTGATAATCACTTAGTTATTAAGTAAACAAAAACAAGGAAGCTGGGCAGTATATAAGAGGCTGTGGCCCAAGAACACGTCCAAATTTGAGAACCTCATTCTTCTAGAAACTCACCCAGAACCTCCACCCTCTGACACCATGGTCAGCTCCTGTTGTGGCTCTGTCTGCTCTGACCAGGGCTGTGGCCTGGAGAGCTGCTGCTGCCCCAGCTGCTGCCCCACCTGCTGCAGGACCACCTGCTGCCGCCCCAGCTGCTGTGTGTCCAGCTGCTGCAGACCCCAGTGCTGCCAGTCTGTGTGCTGCCAGCCCACCTGCTGCCGCCCCAGCTGCTGTCAGACCACCTGCTACAGGACCACCTGCTGCCGCCCCAGCTGCTGCATCTCCAGTTGCTGCCGCCCCAGCTGCTGTGTGTCCAGCTGCTGCAGGCCTCAGTGCTGCCAGTCTGTGTGCTGCCAGCCCACCTGCTGCCACCCCTCTTGCTGTGAATCCAGCTGCTGCCGCCCCTGTTGCTGCCTGCGTCCAGTCTGTGGCCGAGTCTCCTGCCACACCACTTGCTATCGCCCAACCTGTGTCATCTCCACCTGCCCCCGCCCCATGTGCTGCGCCTCCTCTTGCTGCTAAACTCTCCTTGTAATATTTGTCATACTATGAATGTCTTCATTAGTCATATAAAATGTGCTGTAGCTAGACAGTCACTGGAAAAATGAACACTTCCCCATCAATTTGTCTCATGTGGCATTCAGAGTGGACATTCAGTTCTAGGAAATGACAGACATAAACACATTCATTAAAATATGTTATGCCAGACCCCATTGCAGTCATTTTTAGATAAGCTGTGTCTTCATTCTAAGAGGACACTAACTGTGATGATCTCATATAATATTGCTTTTATATATTAATAAACAGCCATTTCCCTAATATTGAAATCTCCTGATTTGTTAGTTATTTGACTGCCTGTGCCTGTGTATGTGTGTGTGTGTGTGTATGTATATGTGTGTGTACATGTCTATGTGTGTATGTATGTGTGTATGTGTATGTGTGTGTGTGTGTGTATGTATATGTGTGTGTACATGTCTATGTGTGTATGTATGTGTGTATGTGTATGTGTGTGTGCATGTGTATGTGTGTATGTATATGTGTGTGTGTGTGTATGCATGTCTGTGTGTCTGTATGTGTATGTGTGTGTGTATCTTTACCTGTCACTTCACACCAAGTGCCATCTCTCCTTAAATGCAGACTAGCATGTTTAAGAGACTGGGCCTTGATTCACATTACTTGTATTGGACTCAAGACTCCACTGAGTATTTGTTGTGTGGCATGGGGCAAGTTGTTTAACCTCCCCATACCTCAGTTTCTTTCTCTGTGAATAGAGATAATACATTATGTTCTTTAAATGTTCAGAGACAAAATTCATGTAATATATTCACCACAGGGCCTGGTACCTAATGCAGTATAAGCTCTTAATGAATACAGTTTCTGGCCGAGTGAGGTGGTTCACGTCTGTAATTTCAGCACTTTAGGAGGCTGAGTGGGTGGATCACTTGAGTCCAGGAATTCAAGACCAGTGGGGAAACATGGTGAAATCCCTTCCCTACTGAAAATACAAAAATTAGTTGGGTGTGGTGGTTGTAGTCCCAGCTACTTGGGAGGCCGAGGCAGGTGAATCACTTGAACCCAGGAGCCAGAGGTTGCAGTGAGCCAAGATTGCCTCATTGCACCCCAGCCTGGGTTACAAAGCAACTCTGTCTAGATAAACAAACAAACAAATAAACGGTACCCTGGGCTAGAATAATATCACAGCATAATGTTCTGTTTTGACAGAACAGAAAGGAAATTTGTAACATTGTCGCACTGTCTTCTATAACTCAAAATTAAGTTTTGGGATATGCCTCGAATGTCCCTTAAAAACTCCAGCAAGTTGAACATCATGAATTTTGTCTGACTGTATTTCTACTTCCAGTATGTTCCATCATTGGCTGTGGAAATTTTGAGTATTCTCTCCACCTCAAGTACTTTTTCCTTCCTTCCTTCCCCTCTCCCTCCCCTTCTAATCCCTTTACCTTCCTTCTGCCTCCCATCCCTTTTCCTTCCTTCCTTCCCTCCCACGTCCTCCCTCCCTCCTTCCGTCCCTCCCTCTTTAACATAAAATTATCTTTCAGAATATAAAGTATACCTTCTAAGTCAAGATTTCTGGAAATTTAAGACATCTATGGAAGCTTTCTCATAAAAGTTTTAAATCTATTAATTAATAGATGCTCAAAGTCTTAGTATTTCCAGACTGAAACTCCTTTATAATTTTAGCCTCTAATGTTACAGAGGTTTCTGCATTTTCTTGATGGTTTTACTCCCTCGTTTTAGGCTTTAACCTCCTTGCTTCATCTTAAGAGAACATGGGTGAGACTTTTCCTTGAGACTCAGTTTCTCATCACCAAAACTCAAATAAGTGTTATTCTATGTAGATAAGAAAATGTGTCACAATATGTGCAATATATCTTATTTATATAAATAGAAGGGTTTACATGTTTCAGCTAACAGCCCAAAGTATATTAAAACTGTTAAATCCGAAATTTCTACAAATCATAATTTTTAAATTAGCTGTGTTATATTTCCAAAGAAATGTAACTAAGAGCTAATTAGCATTTCTGAAATGTAAAAATAAAGAAGTTTTAAGTTGTCAAGAGACAGCATGAATAGAAGCCAACATTAAGTGGGCTGACTCCAGCATAGGTTAGGTACTGTATTCTTAGCATATCATAAAAACGTCTTGCAGATCCTTTTGGCTTCAGCTGTTTCCATTCACTGTAAATTATTCTACAGAGTACAGACTTGTCAATTCATGCATCAGAATTAACAAGTCTTTTATCCTCCCATATGTTCTTCTTTGACAACTGCCCATTAGAGAATGCTGGCTTTGGTTTTAACATTATGCTTTATTAGCTAGAGTGAAATAAAAGACTATAGATTTTATATGATCTTTTCGGTATTAAAGTATATGAGGCTTGTAATTTCCTCTTTCTACAAGAACTGGGCCATAGCAGGAATGAGATGACACAATGTATCTGTGTAATAAAGAGACTATTTGCATAGGTGTAGCTAGAGTTCAGGAAAAGGAACAAGGAAAGGCTTGGTACCCAGGGCTCACAATAACAAGGAGTAGGTACCCCAGGTCTGAAGGCCTATGCAATGATTTGGGTGAAATGCTCAGAGGGTGGCATGCGAAACTTTTTAGGATTAGTATGCACAGACACTCAAGTACAGTCATTGCCTTTGAGGAGAGATATGGTGCTCTAAAAGGTACAAAGATGATATGGGAGATATTGTGGTGGTGAGATCCAAGGTAGATATAAATTTATGAATGGGAAAGTGTGACTGCAGTGATTACTCTGGCCACATCAGCTTTACCTAAATGCACAGTACAGATGGATTTTAAGTGAATGAAACATTGACTTAGTTGATGTTTCATTCACTTAAAAGTCACTCAGCATTATTTGACCATGCTAAATAAGTACGTTTGGAATTGCTCAAGCCTTTCTAGCTAGTGAAAACTAAGCAAGATAGAATTCCAGAAGGGCAACAAGAGATGCCCGTTTTGATTAAGGAAGTACCTGAAACAAGAGTTATTTTAATTCCCATGACCTCCCTTATAACAGTACCCTCTGGCTAGTATATAAGGAAGACAGTTACTGGAGGTTAACAACAGTCTTGGTGATTAAAAAAGTTTGTTCCCCCAAATGTTTCAGCTGCACCTACATAAGTCAGAACTTTGCAGGGAACTCAACAAACCTGGTAAGACTCATGCACCATTGCAGACTCAGCTAGTGCATTCTTTTCAATGAGAGTCCAGGCAGGTGCAATTTACATTTTTATGGTAAGGAACCCAGTATACATATACCATTTTGCCACACAGATATTTGAGTTCACTAGCATATTACCATAACCTATTAGGGCAGACTTGAACTTGATAACCATTTAAAGAAAGTTAATATCATACATTAGTAATGTGATACCAGCACATGAAAAATTATTAGTGAACTGAAAATCAAGTCCAGAAATAGATTAAAGTACATAAAGGAATTTATTATATGAAAAGGTGGCACTTTAATTCAGCAATGGAATGATGTATTATTTAATAAATGATGTTGAGCCATGGTCATATTTGATTATAAAACATTTAAGCCTCATATTTTGTATCTGTATAAATTCTTAGTTGGTAAAATATTTTAAAATATAAAACGTGAAATCTTGAAGTTAACAGACATTATGGGATAATGTTTATGTAAATTTGTAACTGGAAATTCCTTTCAAAATATGACACATACCCAAACTGTCAAAGAAAAAAAATTCATAAATTTGACTGCATCAAAAGCAACATGAGGATAAAGAAAATTCCTTTCATGTCTGATTTTGCAGAGAGGCAGTATGTGTAGCGATTAAAAACATGGACCCTTGCTGGGCACGGTGGCTCATGCCTGTAATCCCAGTACTTTGGGAGGCCGAGGTGAGCAGATCACAAGGTCAGGAGATCGAGACCATCCTGGTCAACATGGTGAAACCCCATCTCTACTAAATACAAAAAAATTTTATTGTGTGGTGGTGCACACCTATAGTCCCAGCTACTCAGGAGGCAGGGGAATTGCTTGAACCCAGGAGGCAGAGATTGCAGTGAGCCGAGATTGTCCACTGCATTCCAGCCTGATGACAGAGCAAGACTCCATGTCAAAAAACACAAAGACAAAAACAAAACAAACATGGACTCCATGCTGGTGGGCTAGCTGAAATCAAATTACAGCTCCCCTGCTTACTGGCTTTAATCCCCCCTGTGCCTTAAGTTTCTCCTCTGTAAAGGGAAGGTTATAATAGAATTTACCATACTGGATTTTTGGGACTGGTAATAGAGCTAATATGTGTAAAGCACTAGAAAAATTGCGAAACATATTTGTTATTTTGTTATTCCAACATCCAGCAAAATTATCAGTATACAACATTTGGAGCCCGAAGAAGAAAAGAAAGAAGAACAAGAATTCTGTAACACATTGGGTTTTTATTTTGCTTAAGTTTCTGAAAAGAACAAGTATATTTACTACATAATTGTGCCAACCATTCCATTCTAGCCTTATCTCTTCCTTATCTCTAAATGGATTCTTCTTTTTAGGTTCTTCTTTTTTAGGCACAACTTACCTTTTCTGATTTATTTATCCTTTAAAAATTGTAATTATTGGCTTTAAGTAGGTGGGGGTATAAATTATATATAGAGAAAGTTATAGAATATGTAAACAATTAGTTCAATTGAAATATATTGTATAACTTTTAGGAAGAACTCTTCTTATACCTCAATCCTCGATTTGTTCCAAGTCTCTACTGATTCTTTCTTTCAAAGAAAGAATTTAATTATTTCATAATAAAGAGAATAATTTATCTTTATTATCCTCATGGCCATCACCTGATGCTGAGAGTTCAACTTTTACTCTGTCTCACTTCAACCTTTTAATAGCATCTCTTCCCAGAAATTCCGGAGTGTTTTGGCATTTCTAAAGGCAGATTAAAAATTAAAATAAATTGTACATAGCATATATATTGAAAGCACTTTTGCAAAAATACGAACAGTGAGAAAATTATGATAGTAGAAGAGATCTGATTGAACCAACTCTTATCTTGCTTTTAACCTTCAAATTGCCCTGGGCTTGGGCCAAGCTAACTTGGGGAGAAATTTAGTTTACAGTTTAAATGATAACATCCATTCCACAAAAACTAAACCACCTTTGTGAAACTAATGAAAGTTCACCAGGTTAGGAGCATGAATGGAGCCTGAATTCTGCTAAGGTGTAGATATAAACAATTACCAGCCATTATTCCAGAGGTCACAAGATTTGGAACTTCTCCAATTACTCCTCAAATAGTATCGCTGCTATAGAACTGAAAATTAGACTTTTGAGATGTCTTTTCCTGTTTTTGCATTTCTGACCATCAGTAGCCCCATGTGAACCTATGACTCCTGACTCAACTGGTCCTGGGCCACCCCTCCCCACCTCAAAGCAAATTCGGCTCACAAGGACCATTGTTCACAGACCTATGATTGCATCCACAACAAATCAGCACCACCCATTCCTTTGCCTACCAAACTATCCTTGAAAAACTTTAGCCTCCTAATATTTAGGAAGGCTGATACAAGTAATCAAAGCTCTGGTTTCCTTATTAAAGTTCTGGTCTCCTTTTTAGCTGGCTGTATGCACAACAAACTCTTTCTCTATTACAATTCCCTGTATTGATAAATTGGCTCTATCTGGGCAGCAAGCAAAATGAACCCATTGGGTGGCTACAATATCACCTAACATTCCTTCCTGAGGGCTTTTCATAGCTCCCCACCACTTCTTCCAGGATTTGAGGATACCCACAATTTCTCCCACATGCTATCAAGCTCAACTGCTCTTATTACTTCTCAAAACAGACCTTTCAGCATATCATTTTCACCATCACAAGCCAGGGTCATGCCCAATCTCAATTATGTGCTCCTTTCATATCCCCTTTCTCTCCACCTATTTGAATGGTCTGTATTCTCAAAGGTCAGTGTGTAACCCTCGAAAGCCTTAACAAACTCTTCATCCATTAAACACGTTTCCTTATTCTATTTCAGGTTCTGTTGTATAATGATGAACATATCGTAGTCTATGCCCTGGTGGGGTTTGTATTCTAGAAGGAGCCAACAGGAAAATGGATTTCTGATAGAGAATGAGATGGTAATTCCTGCGCATATATAAGGCACAATAGACATGCAATGGAGGAAGGACCTTGTTTTGTGTGAGACCAAGAAAGATACTGGAGAAAAATGGCATTTGGACTAACCAGTAAAAAATAACTAGAAGAATGCTAAGTGAAGGAAGTAAAAAATATTTTACCCCAAAATATATCTTCTGACTTAAGATAGTTGCTGCATGGCCAGTGGACTAAAGTGGCCCTGCAAAGCCATCTTTTGTGAAGGAAATTTAAATCTGTAGAGAACCTCCATTAATGCAGCCAGCCTTCTCTTTATAGGCCATTCCTGGATGTAGACGAGAATAAATGACAGTCTGACACCCTTAAAGTTCTGAAAAAAGTCAATTTACTATCTCTTCTCTCTGAGGGTTGCTACCTGTGAGATTTCATCCACATAACAAGACCCCCTTTGCAAGCCAAGCCTCTTTCTTTCTCCCTCCCATTACCATTTTTATAAGATTTTATAAAACCATTATCTTCCTTCTCCTCTACAGTTCTCCTTGCTACCTCCATGTGAAGAAGGACGTGTTTGTCTCCCCTTCTGCCAGGTTTGTAAGTTTCCCAAGGCTTCCCAATGATGCTGAACTGTGAGTCAATTAAACCTCTTTCCTTTATGAATTACCCAGACTCAGGTATTTCTTCACAGTACCATGAGAACGAACCAACACACCTGTCTTGCCGCTAAAACCTGTTTCCTGTTTTGGCTATGTGCTGAGCCCTCATTCTTTCTGTGACCTCAAGATGATGTGTAAGCTTCTGTATCTCTTTAAGGCATTGAGTTTTCATACTGAAGGCTCTTCGGTATACTTGTTAAATAAATGTGTGTGCCTTTTCACCTACTAATAAATCTGCCTCGAGTCAGTGATTTTTCCTTGAGGAAAATCTTTCCTCCATCACACTTCTGTGGTGCCTAATTTACACATGGGCTCTTTTCTCTATCAGAAATTCATATGTCTGTTGGCTCCTTCTAGAATAAAAACTACATGAGGACAGAGATCTCCAGGTTCCTCAGGCCCCACATAAGCTCACAAGAGACATCCCTTCATTCCCAGAAAGAGAGAATATCATGAAGGTAATCTGCTCTTTCCTTGAATAATTGCTTTTCCCTGAATGCCCATGGCACTAAAGAAGACCTGTTATTTAGGACCATAATCATGAGAGGCTTTGATTTAAAAACAGGCATGATGGCTTACTTCTGTAATCCCAGGATTTTGGAAGGCAGAGGCAGGTGGATCACCTGAAGTCAGGAGATTGAAACCAGCCTGGCCAACATGGTGAAACTGTCTCTACTAGAAATACAAAATTAGCTGGGTTTGGTGGCACACTTCAGTAATTCCAGCTACTTGGGAGGCTGAGGCAGGAGAATGACAAACCTGGGAGGCAGAGGTTGCAGTGAGCTGAGATCATGCCATTGCACTCTAGCCTGGGCAATAAGAGTGAAACTCCAACTTAAATGAATAAATAAATAAAATTAAAATAAAAACTCTTTATGAATGCAATTTCTGTGTAAATGTAACTAGACACAGGTTCAGGTGCTGGCTGTTAGAAAGCCAATGCATAAGAGGCAAGGGCTAATGGGAGGAAAAGTAGTTCTAGTTGGAAAGCCAGCACACCAAGAAGATAACCTTGCTTTGTATGAGGCCAAGAAAGATATTGGAGAAAAATGGCATTTGAACTAACCAGTAAAGAATAACTAGAAGAATGCTAAGTGAAGGAAATAAAAACATTTCACCCAAAATATATTTCTTTGCCATATTTTAACTAGTGAACTAGCATCTGAAGTGCCATCTTAAATTTTAAAATTAACCATAGGGGTTTGAAAGGGAAACTTGGCATGGGACACATGCAGGGTGGTGCAGGGTGCAGAGTCTGTGTCTTGTTCTGATGGCTACCTTGTGTTTCTGGAAGTTTGGGTGACATTATTTTGACTTCAGCCCAATGTGGTCCAAGATTTCCCCTAAGTGAGAGGATTCCTCAGGGCTCTGTGCCTGGTTTATTTCAAGATTAGCCTCTGGAATTTCTTAAGCAAGATTTGCAATTAGATAAGCCAGAGAGGAGTGTGCAGAGAGGGAAGGAATGAAGAGGTGAGAAGAGAGAAAAGGAAGAGAAAGTGGGTGGTTTTTAAAATTGAGGTCCACAGTTATGTAAGTAGCTGTAAGTTAAGAAATATGTCTTTCGTATTCCTCTCAATGCTTCTTAAAAAATCTTTAATAAGTGACACACACGAAAAAACCCTGCTAGATGTTTTAGCTCAGAATGTTTGAAAAGGATTTTAACAAAATGTCAATAAAGCATATTACACATTTTGATATTTAAAAAGGCAGATCAAAAACTATGATCCACATTACTCTACTACAGCCTGTACAACATTTTTGAAGACAGACACAGCTCAAGCCCAGATGATGCTTTGTTCCTTGAAAACAGTGAGTCACTGATAACTGTTTCAAGGTGCACCAGAGTGATGGGAATTAACACAGCTTGGAATGTCCTAGGAATCTGGTTAGCTCAATGACCACCCAGAATACACACAATGAATCATAAGCTTCTTCATTTCTCACACTCAAAACCAGGAACATTCTTTTTTTCCTGCCAGCATTCCAGCTGATTGAAACATGCATTTCTCCACTAGAGGTCTTAGCCCTATCAGAAGCTCTCCCAAAATAATATCAAGATGACAAACAGACAAATGATGATGGCCCTCCCATGTCACATGATACCCAGAGACTGAAGTCATGTGACACTGAAACCAAGGAAAGGCAAACAAGAGGTGACTCATATGGGAACACCAGGGTGAGAAAGGGAAATAATCATTTTCTCTATATTGGGATATCTCACTAGAAAAACACAACGATATAATTTAGTAATTGCTTTTGTGTCATGTAAACAAAAACAAGGAAATAATCTCATAATCACAAAGGCTGCTCAGCTGGGTATAAAAGGGGACATGTAGCAAGGAGACTCACAAACTCAGGAAACTAACTCTCCTGGAAACCCACCCAGAACATCCACCTTCTAACACCATGGTCACCTCCTGTTGTGGTTCTGTCTGCTCTGACCAGGGCTGTGGCCTGGAGACCTGCTGCCGCCCCAGCTGCTGCCAGACCACCTGCTGCAGGACCACCTGCTGCCGCCCCAGTTGCTGTGTGTCCAGCTGCTGCAGACCCCAGTGCTGCCAGTCTGTGTGCTGCCAGCCCACCTGCTGCCGCCCCAGCTGCTGCATCTCCAGCTGCTGCCGCCCCTCTTGCTGTGAATCCAGCTGCTGCCGCCCCAGCTGCTGTGTGTCCAGCTGCTGCAGGCCCCAGTGCTGCCAGTCTGTGTGCTGCCAGCCCACCTGCTGCCGCCCCAGCTGCTGCATCTCCAGCTGCTGCCGCCCCTCTTGCTGTGAATCCAGTTGCTGCCGTCCCAGATGCTGCCAGACCACCTGCTGCAGGACCACTTGCTGCCGACCCAGCTGCTGCATCTCCAGCTGTTGCAGACCCCAGTGCTGCCAGTCTGTGTGCTGCCAGCCCAGCTGCTGTGTCTCCAGCTGCTGCCGCCCCTCTTGCTGTGAATCCAGCTGCTGTCGTCCCTGCTGCTGCCTGCGTCCAGTCTGTGGCCGAGTCTCCTGCCACACCACTTGCTATCGTCCAACCTGTGTCATCTCCACCTGCCCCCGCCCTATGTGCTGTGCCTCCTCTTGCTGCTGAGCTTCTTTCCTGAACCTGCCTCCTCCCCTTCATCTCACTGATCACAGAAGCAAACCTTGTGCATCTCATAGACAACTCAGGAGAGGCCATCCCCACCAACTGTGTCCATATCTTGGACATATATCTAGGATATATGTCCTAGATATGCATCTAGAATATATCTAGGATATATGAATATATCTAGAGTATATCTAGGATATATGTCCTAGATATACATCTAGAATATATGTTCACCATGTTGATCCAAGTATGAAATTAGATGTTATTTACAGCAAGAAATTAAAATAATTTACAAAATTGTATACCCTATATTTTTATTTATGGATACCAAGTCCCTCTGTTCCAAATATGGAAATTCTTGCAGAACTAGTTGGGGCAAGGATGTCTCACTCTCAGATCTGAAAGTCTGATGGTTTCACCCTATACTTCTGTTTACAGCAATGTTTGTGTATCTTATTTTTGCTGATTCTGAATAAAACTCCACTTTCATCACACTGAAATACAATGTTCTTTTTGCATTGCTTTGTAATGATTGTCCTAAGTTCCTGAGAAATTATAACCAAAACACAACTGTAGTTATGTAGAATGAATAAATTCTAAAAATTTAATATACAGCATGTTGATTACAGCTAATAATACTGTACTGTATGCTTGAATTTGCTAAGAGAGCAGATATGAAGTGTTTTCACACAAAGGCAACTGTGTGAGGCAATGGATATGTTGATTAGCTTGTCTTTAGTAATCACTTTACAGTGTATATCAAAATACAACATGGTACATCTTAAATAATATATACGTGGTTTTATAATAAAATGAGTAAAAGCAACAGGGGAAAAACAACACACACTTTCCCAAAAAGAACAGGAAGCCTAAAATCTGACTGAAATAATGGAAGTGACAAGATGACAAAGAGGCATCTCGTGAAGGAAAACACTGCCAATAGAGATCATATGCCCAGAGAGACAAAAAAAGATAATAAAATTAAGTTATTTTCAGGAAAACAAAAATGAAAGAATATGTTAACACCAAACTTTACTAAAGAAATAGACTAGGCCAGGCTCTGTGGCTTACACCTGTAATCAGCACTTTGGGAGGTCAAAGTGGGTGGATTACTTTGAGGCTGGGAGTTCGAGACCAGCCTGATCAACATGGTGAAACCCTGTCTCTACTAAAAATACAAAAATTACCTGGGCATGGTGATGGGTGCCTATAATCCCAGCTACTCGGGAGACTGAGATGGGGGATTGCTTGAACCCAGAAGGAAGAGGTTGCAGTGAGCTGAGATCACACTACTGCATTCCAGGCTGGGTGACAGACCAAGACTCTGTCTTAAAAAAAAAGTAGAAGGAAATTGACACATTGATGCAAAGTGATAGAAATGATGATTCCAACAAAGAGTAATTCTACATTATTCTTTTCCAAATCAGTCATTTTCTATATTCCATTTCTTCATTATGATTTCTATTTTTAAAATTTTTATTTATTATACTTTAAGTTTTGAGACACATGTGCAGAACATGCAGGCTCGTCACATAGGTATACATGTGCCATGGTGGTTTGCTGCATCCATCAACCCATCATCTAGGTTTTAAGCCCCACATGCATTATGTATTTGTTCTAATGCTCTCCCTCCCCTTCCCCCCTCCTCGATTTCCATTTTTTGTTTACCTTTTAAACCCATTTATATATAGTCTCCTTCAGAATCTTCAGTTACCTCAATTCCTGGGGGTTATATTCCCTTTCCCTATGTCTACTATAATACTCGTGATAAGACCCAAGAAGATGGCGCTATAAGACCAACTCAGGATTACAGCTCCCAGTCAATCCGCAGAGGGTGAGTGGGTGCCACATTTCCATACAGATCTTTATTGTCCACAGACTAGGAGATTCCCAAGTGTAAGAGCCCCACGGGCTGCGCAGCAGTTTGGGCCTGCATAACTGTTTGGGCTTGCGCAGCTGTTTGGGCAAAGGCCGCAGCGCAGTGACACTCTGTACAAAATACGCTGGTTTGGTTGCCCTGTTAAACCAGCAATTGGAGATTTTGGAAGGCAGATTAGCACATTCATCTGATTAAACGGGACTTAAACAGAAAGCCAGCCCAGGAGATTCCCAGGCAGCAATGTGGTTTGAGCCGGCGCAGTGGGTTGCTGCACAGGAAATCACACAGATCCCGGCGTCCTTGCAGCAGGCAACTGGAACACCTGGGAGAGACTCAACCGCTCAACTTAAAAAAAAAGGGGGGGCTCTGAGTCAGGGAGCCAGGTGATTAGGCTTGGCGGGTCCCACCCCCACAAAAACAAACAAAACAGCAATTGAAAACGCTCGGGGTTGAGAGTTTCATGACAAGCAAAGCAGAACCCAGGATGGTGCACCTCGGAGGGGGAGGGGCATCCACCATTACTGAGGCACTCGACCCCTACGGAGCTACACTGCCATTGCAGACGCAGCCTGCCATTGCCAAGGCAACCCGCTGTTGCTGGGGCAACCCACAATAACAGAGAGAGTCTGCCACTACAGAGGTGAGCACACCCATATAAACAGGACTACAGGGAATTACACATGGCAGCAGGAGGGAGCCCACAGTAACAGGGAGGAGCCCATGACAGCAGAGTGGAGCCCACGGCAGCAGGGCACTGCACACAGCAACAAGACGGAGCCCATGGCAACAGGGCAGAGCCCACAGCAGCTCAGCTCAGCCACTGCAGGCAAGCAGTGATTAGACTGCCCCCTTGCTAGGCAGGACAGTGCAACGAATACTCATAAATGGAGCCCTAACTCCCTGGGACAGAGCACGTGAGGGATAAAAAAGGCTTTAGGAGTTCTGCTGCAGAAGACTTAAACGTTCCTGCCTAGCAGCCCTGAATGAACAACGGAGCTCACAGCTCAGCACTTGAGCTCCTATAAAGTACAGGCCGTTTCTTCAAGCAGCTCTCTGACCCTTGTATATCCAAAGAGTCACCTCACAAAGGACTGATCAGACTGACATTTAGTGGGCATCATTCAGGAACAAAGATAGCAGAAGAAGAATCTGGTAGCAATCTTCACGGTTCCGCAGATGCTACAAAAGTTCCCCGGGCAAGCAGGGCCTGGAGTGGACCTCAGCAGTCCTACAGCAGTGGGGTCAGACTGTTAGAAGGAAAACTAAGAAACAGAAATACTCCATCATCAACAATCTGGATGTCCACTCAGAGACCCAATTGGAAAATCAGCAACCACTCAGAAGACAGGTGGATAAATCCACAAAGATGGGAAGAAACCAGCGCAAAAAGGAGGAAAACACCTGAAATCAGAACATCTCGCCTCCTACAAAGGACCAAAACTCCTCAACAGCAAGGGAACAAAGCTGGACGGAGAATGAGTGTGATGAAATGACAGAATCAGACTTCAGAAGGTGGGTAATGAGAAAGTTCCGTGATCTAAAAGAACATGTTCTAAATCAATACAAAGAAACTAAGAACCTTAAAAAAATATTTGAAAAAACATTTGAGGAAATGATAATAAGAATGGACAACTTAGAGAGAAATATGAGTGAATTGAAGGAGCTGAAAAACACAACATGAGAACTTCATGAAGCATGCACAAGTTTCAACAGCCGAATTGACCAAGCAGAAGAAAGGATATCAGAAGTCGAAGATCAATTCAGTGAAATAAAATGAGAAGCCAAGATTAGAGAAAAAAACGCAAAAAGGAATGAACAAAGTCTCCAAGAAATGTGGGACTATGTGAAGAGACCTAACCCACGTTTGATAGGTGTACCTGAATGTGATGAAGAGAATGGATCCAAGCTGGAAAATACTCTTCAGGATATTATCCAGGAAAATGTCCCCAACCTAGCAAGGTAGGCCAATATTCAAGTCCAGGAAATACAGAGAACACCACAAAGATATTCTGCAAGAACAGCAACCCCTTGCAGAATCATCAGATTCACCAGGGTTGAAATGAAGAAGAAAATGCTAAGGGCAGCCAGAGAGAAAGATCGGGACACCCACAAAGGGAAGCCCATCAGACTCACAGCAGATCTCTCAGCAGAAACTCTACAAGCCAGAAGAGAGTGGGGGCCAATATCCAACTTCCTTAAAGAAAAGAACTTTCAACCCAGAATTTCATATCCAGCCAAACTGAGCTTCAGAAGTGAAGGAAAAATAAAATCCTTTGTGAACAAGCAAGTACTCAGAGATTTTTGTCACCACCAGGCCTGCTTTACAAGAGCTCCTGAAAGAGGCACCACACAAAGAAAGGAACAACCAGTACCAGTAATTCCAAAAACATACCAAATGCTAAAGAGCATCGATGATATTGATTCTTCCTAACCATGAACATGGAATGTTTCTCCATCTGTCTGTGTCCTCTTATTTCGTTGAGCAGTGGTTTGTGGTTTTCCTTGAAAAGGTCCCTTACATTCCCTGTAAGTTGTATTCCTAGGTATTTTATCCTCTTTGTAGCAATTGTGAATGGCAGTTTGTTCTTGATTTGGCTCTCTTTAAGTCTGTTATTGGTGTATAGGAATGTCTGTGATTTTTGCACATTGATTTTATATCCTGAGACTTTGCTCAAGTTGCTTATCAGTTTCAGGAGATTTTGGGCTTAGACAATGGGGTCTTCTAGGTATACTATCATGTCGTCTGCAAATAGAGACAATTTGGCTTCCTCTTTTCCTATTTGAATACCCTTTATTTCTTTTTCTTGCCTGACTGCTCTGGCTAGAATTTCCAGTACTATATTGAATAGAAGTGGTGAGCGAGGGCATCCTTGTCTAGTGCCGGATTTCAAAGGGAATGCTTCAAGTATTTGTCCATTTAGTATGATATTGGCTGTTGGTTTGTCATAAATAGCTTTTATTATTTTGAAATACATTCCATCAATTCTGAGTTTATTGAGGGTTTTTAGCCTAAAGGGCTGTTGAATTTTGTCAAAGGCCTTCTCTGTGTCAATTGAGATAATTATGTGGTTTTTGTTTTTGGTTCTGTTGATGTGGTGAATTACATTTATAGACTTGCATATGTTGAACCAGCCTTGCATCCCTAAGATGAATCCTACTCGATCATGATGGATAAGTTTTTTGATGTGCTGTTGCAATCGGCTTGCCAGTATTTTATTGAAGATTTTTGCATCTATGTTCATCATGGATATTCTCGTGAAATTTTCTTTTCTTGTTGGATCTCTGCTGGGTTTTGGTATCAGGATGATGTTGGTCTCATAAAATGATTTGGAAAGGATTCCCTCTTCTTGGATTATTTGGAATAGTTTCAGAAGGAATGGTACCAGCTCCTCTTTGTGTGTCTGGTAGAATTCGGCTGTGAACCCATCTGGACCTGGGCTTTTCTGTGTGGTAGGCTCTTAATTGCCGCCTCAACTTCAGACCTTGTTATTGGTCTATTCATAGTTTTGGCTTCCTCCTGGTTTAGGCTTGGGAGGACACAAGTGTCTAGGAATGTATCCATTTCTTCCAGGTTTACTAGATTATGTGCATAGAGTTGTTTGTAATATTCTCTGATGATGGTTTGAATTTCTGTGGAATCTGTGGTGATTTCCCCTTTATCGTTTTTTATTGCATCTTGTTGGTTATTCTT